AGACAAAGCGAGAGAGAGAGAGAGAGGGAGAAAAAATAGCAACAAAACGAACTGAGAGCACAACGAGGTAAGGAGTTGTGCCTGCACCTGCAGCGTCACGGGTGGCATCGTGCCCAAGGGGCTCTTTAGCATAGCGTCTGCCAGGTCCTTGGGCATTTGGTCGCCTAGGGCCGCCAGTGTGGCGAGAAGGTCACCTGACAGCTCTGGCAGTCGCCAGACCTCCCGCGCAGCGTACTCATCGAAGCTCTTGCCTTCCTCTTGGGTCAAGTTGCTGTGGACCTCTTTCAGCAGGCTCAGCGCGGTGCCGTTGGTCGCTTGCTTCAGCAAGGACTTCACGGGGAACGCCAGGCTGTAGCCCTGCATGCCAACCCATCCCTGCTTGTAGAGCCAGCGCTTGCCAATGCGTTCGCTGCAGGCTGGAGCTGCCCCTTCCATGCAGGCTAAGAGCTTCACGGTGCCATCTGGCGACAGCAGAGCAGGTGGGTGGACGTAATCGAATGACCACGGGACACTTATTTTCTGGCCACCCAGGCTTTGATTCCGCACTTGCTCGCACAGATGTGCATGGCAAGTGGTGAGGAGTTTACATAGCGCGTCAGTCGAGGAAAGGACGGCGCCTTCAGCTTTCGTGCTCACATTCACAACTGAACATCCGTGCAACTGAGCTGCCCAGGCAGCGGGGCTGTCCACTCCGTCATACTGCAAGACGACAGTGCGCTGTTCCGAAGGCGAGAAACCCCACTCGCGCGCTTTACGTGGCACCACCGTAAAGTGGCGAGGGGCGTCCATCTGCCCCTGGAGCGGGTCAAGCTGCACAGCCAGGGGTTCATCTCCCAGGCCGGAGCTGTGGTTGGCGCCGTCGTACGCACCGCAGATTCTGTACCGAGAGCGGACTTGAGCGCTCTCCAAGCAGCGCCCGTGCCTCTGCAGGAGCTCTTGGTCTGCCTTTGTGGAACCAGACCACTGGGACCAGTTGGCCCGGAAGGCCTCGGCTAGCGCTCCTTTCGACTGGACCGCTCTCGCAGTCTCTCTCGCTCTCTCTCCCTCCCTCCCAACCTCTGCTATTTTGTTCACACCTGTAAGTCCTAGAAGCCCTTTATGCCAGTACCCAAAACCGTCCGCGGACAAGCCGGAAGCAGCAGGAGCCCAGGCGCCGGGTCGGGCAGCATCGGCATCACCAGCAAGCGGAGCTTCTCGAAGGCAA